CAAATAAACGAATTTCGCATTTTTTATAGAGAAGGGCTAGGAATTTAAATGGGTTATTTACTAAAATAATCACTATCTGAATTCTAATAGAACTAGAACTAGGAACAATTTTATTTTCATAAAAAGTCAAACAATATTGTGGAAATTGTGAAAATATTGTGGAAGTGGAAACCCCAACTCAGTGGGTCAGCCCAGTTGTAGTAGTCAAGAAACCAAGTGGGAAAGTTTGGATTTGTTTGGATCCACGAGAACTGAATAAGGCTTTTTTAAGGGAACACTATCCACTTAAGACTGTCGAAGAAGTGGCTGCCAACTTAAAGCATGCAAAAGCAATTCACAACTTTAGATGCGGCTTCTGGATTTTACCAATTGACCGAGGAGAGTTCGTGGCTCACCACCTTCAATACGCCTTTTGGAAGATTTAAGTTCGAGAGACTTCCGGTTGGAATATCTTCGGCTCCAGAATTGTTTCAGAGGGCCATGTCTCATGTATTTGAAAATCAGCCTTGTGAAGTGATTGCAGATGACATTTTGATGTGGGCAGATAGTGAACAGGAACACTGGGAAATAATTAATCAAATACTGCAGAGAGCTGAGAATGTTGGATTACGTTTCAACAAGGACAAGTGCAAAGTAAACAAACCAGAAGTTGAATATGTTGGACATGTTTTCAGTGCAGATGACGTAAAGCCCAGTAGTGAAAAAAATCAAAGCAATTTTTGCGATTCCAGCACCAGAAAACAAGAAGGAATTGCAACGATTTATGGGGATGATAAATAACTTAGGAAAGTTTATTCCAAATTTGTCCACCAGGAAACAACCACTCAGACAGTTGCTCGAAACCAATGTAGCATGGCACTGGAATGATGAGCAAGAAAAAGCCTTTAATGATCGGAAGAGTGCAATAACGTCAACGCCAACATTAAAATATTTTGACGTTAACGAGGATGTCAAACTTTCAGTTGATGCATCGTCATATGGACTGGGAGCTTGCATCATGCAGAAGGAGCAACCTGTGGCTTATGCATCGAGAGCCCTGAATGCAGCTGAGGGAAACTATGCACAAATAGAAAAAGAGATGCTTGGAATCGTGTACGAACTACAGAAATTCAATGAGTATGTGTATGGTAAAACGGTTTCAATGAAAACAGACCACAAACCACTAGAGAGCCTGTTTAAAAAAACATTGTCTAGTGCACCTCCACGACTTCAACGTATGATGTTGAAAGTTCAGAAGCATGATTTAGTTGTGAAATACAAAGCTGGCAAGGAACTCTACATTGCTTATGCATTATCAAGATCAACAGAATCAGATACAGCTGACCAACATGAAGAAAAGTTTGAAGTTCATGTGATAGAGACTATTCCTGTAAGTCAGGAAAGGGGGATGCTATTTCAGAGTGAAACCAAAAAAGACCCTGTTCTAATGAAATTGAAGGACACAGTTCTACAAGGATGGCCAGCAAACCGGAAGGATTTAGAAAGTGAACTTACTCCATACTGGAATTTTAGAGATGAGATAAGCATTGTAGATGGCTTATTGTTGAAAGGAGATCGTATCATTACACCAGAGCAACTAAGACCCCAGATGTTGAAAATTCTGCACAGCAGTCACCTGTGACAAGAGAAATGTATACAGCAAGCAAAATCAACATTGTTTAGGCCAGGAATAATCATGCAGTTTAAGGACATGATAGAACAGTGCAACATTTGCAACCGCTACAGGAACGCGCAGCAAAAAGAGCTTATGTTACCGCATGAGATCCAAAATCGTCCATGGCAGAAAGTTGCAGCTGACACTATGTTGTTTTTTTGGAAATACAGGATACTTGATAACTGTTGACTACTTCTCAAGGTTCATAGAAGTCAACCGCTTACCAGATGGGAAAGCTTCCACCGTTATCAACATTCTGAAGCAACATTTTAGTCGACTAGGAATCCCTGAAGAGTTCATTAGTGACAATGGAGCTGAATTCGCAAATCATGAATTTAAAAACTTTGCAAAGGAATATGATTTCCGACATGTAACATCTTCGACGAGATATCCACAGAGTAACGATATGGCTGAAATAGCTGTTCAGACCATCGAAAACCTGTTTAGGAAGGCGCAGGATGACCACAAGGATCCTTATATTGCGCTTATGGAGTTGAGAAGTTCAGAAATACCAGGAGTGAAGCTTTCAACGGCACAACTTTTATTTGGACGAACCACAAGAACTCTTGTACCAACCCTTAAATTCCAACTTGCAACCAGTGGGATTTAACTCAGAACGTGTTCGCGAGGAACTCCAGAGCATTAAAGAAGCACAAAAGTCTTATTATGATCGCAACTCAAAAGCCCTTAAAACACTTGACAACGGAGATGCAGTACGTGTTATGATTCCAAGACAGTTCATAAAAACACCAGGAAAAGTCGTTAGACCTGCAGAAACGCCAAGATCGTATTACATACAGCAAGGGAATGCCACAATGAGGAGAAACCTCCCAGACTTTATCAAAACCAAAGAACTGAGTACAAAACAACCAGTAGAAACTGAAGAGACTGTTAACTGTCACCGTGATTCGTTTCTTGATAATTCTAATAGTGCTAGTGGTTCATTTATTAATTCTGGAGACGAACCAACTGGTGTTACCACAGCAAGTGGTCGAGTCATCAAACCACGTAGAATGGTTACGGAGTGTTAATTCTTTCAAACTGTGAAAGTGAATTTCTGAAGATGTGTACATTCATAGTTCATTTCTGTAGTTCCAATTTGTTAGTTGTAGTTGGAAAAGTAAATGTATTGAGAGCTGTTTATTATAACAGAAAATGCAAAATTTATTTCAAATGTAATTTTAACAAACATTTCAAAGTTAACCTAAAAGGGAGATGTGACATAATTTATATCTAAGAACAGTAACTCTAAGACTTGCACTTGTATCATTTGTAAATGTTATAATAGAGTTGTCTTCCCTTGTCATTCATGATGATGATGCCACACGTGTTTGTAATAAACTAGTTCTCATCGCCATCTTGATTCTGAATAATGCTACACTGTGCACGCGTCGATAGCCAAAATAAAAATTCGTTCAAGTGTAACGAGGGCATCGGGGTATATATCGTTACAATAAGACAATGTATCTCAAAGAAATATGGCGGAATACGGCTAGTTGGTATGAAACAAGTCGAACATTGATGCAAATGTTGCTTTTAAGAATTAATGTCAGCTTGAATGAACTTCGTCGTAAAATGATTAAAAGTGTCAAGATTACTAGTTATAACTTTTGTGTTTTTCTTTCGTTGTGTGTAAGACATCGCAATGTTTGGAAAATAATCTGCCGATAGGCGACTTTTTTTCTTCTCAGAAATATAGCTGGCTCCGGCCATTGAATCTACCGTATGAAAGAGTAACCCAAGATTCTATGTCCCCACAAACAAGTAAAATATTGTTTACCCACGTACATTGACCCCAACGAATTAAAATGATTCCACGGTATACAGAGACTATAAATAAACTATATATGATAAAGAATGATATAAACTGTTTACTTTTGTATATATTATTTCCGGACTACAATGTATAAATAGACTTTATTATACTTTCATGTTAAATACTAAAATCTGATTGGTTTAGACGCATTTAACAATCTGTAATGTTACCCTCAGCGTTAGCAACACACTTGACAACGGGTAACATTACGAAAATGTCACATGCGTTGAAATCATGAGCGTACGGTTCACCGTAGAATTCTCAAAACGTCAGTTGTGCGTTTGAAAGAAGCCGAATAAACGACGTCAATAAAAGCTTGCGTTCGATGTAGCTTACTTCAAAAAACAAACGAGAGACGAAACATCCTTGCGGGTGCAAACTTTAGATGATAAGGGACTTTTTGAGTAGCAAACAAACAATAAAGAGGTTGGTATATCTTTTCCGAAGCTTTCTTATTAAGAAAAACAGAAGCGGGGAGTTTGAAAGCTTTCTAAGCGTGAACTTAACGACGATCTCCGATTTTTTTTTTATGACATCCGAAATCAACAAGACATTCAGTTTAATAAAATAAATAGTGCACGTGTTTGAGGGTAACAGTTGAAATTGGCACCCCTCGGAAAACCATTGTCAACCTCCGCTTACGCGTCGGTTGACAATGGTTTTCTTTGGGGTGACAAGTTCAACTGTTACCCTGAAAAACGTGCACTATTTATAAAATATACTATACCGCCTCGGTCAATATTGATATTCTTTTCTAGTGAATAACAAACCATATTCACCACCTACATGTAAATAGTCCATAATTGTATAATATTCCATTTTACATTTAAAATGTTTCCCTTGGATTTCTCGTCTGCCATTAATATTACATTTAATATACCCTTATGAAACGATGCTTTCTTAAAGTAACATAGTGAGTCAATATCATGTGTTTCTTTTAACATAATTGTATCATAAAGCTTAAGATTTATGTGAAATATGAATAAGGCGAAGTTTTGAGATCTCAACTTCACGGTAAAGCAAGAAAAGACTGCAAAATGTAAGTGCCGGCAAAAGAAAAGTCGTATCTATGGCGTGGTTTTTATCGTCAATGTCAAGGTCATGTGTATTATTTTAAGCGTGAAATTAGTAAACAACATTGAATTGGAGCAATCAAAAGTGTGGAATAAGTTCTGATCATCTTTTTTGAAGATTATGTCAAAATTCTCGGTCTGAATATCTTTTTATGATCACCTCAATCGCCGTTAGTTTGATGTTCATAATTTGACAATAATTAAAAATAAAAATGAATTCAACTTATATATAATGATTTGTCCTTACTTAATGTACTGCATCCCAAGATCCATGATTTTTACCCGGGGATCCACATCAACACAAACAAATTTAATATCACTCCTCGGATTTTTTTAACCAGGAAAAACACCCTCCCCTCCAAAAAAAGAATAAAAAGGAAAACAACCAAATAAATAAATAAATACATTATTGTAAAGTAAACCAACAAGATGGCGTTTAATACTTTATCTAAATTTATCATAGGCCGCTTATAATATACATAAAACTTGCAGTGCTTATATCATTTACAATACACAAATGTGACAACATTACATCTCCCTTTTTTAGGGTCTTTTCCATTGCTGAAAAGATTAAGACAAGATCCGCCTGTCCATTTGATTGTGGGTATCTTGGACTTGAGGTTGTGTGAATGAAATCCCAATCTGTTGCGAACTTCTTGAATGCGTAACTCGAGAACTGAGGTCCTTTGTCCGTGAATAGTTCTGTTGGAATGCCATGACGAACAGACACAGATTTAAACGCAGTGATTGTTTGTGAACTGGATGTTGTAGGCATTCGGACTATTTCAGGATAATTGGAATAGTAATCGACACACAGAAGGTATTCCGAACCTTTGAACTGAAACATATCTGCTGCCATTTTGGCCCAAGGACGCGAAGGTATCTCCTGTGGAGTCAATGTTTCCTTGCTGTTAGAGTTCCTGTACTTGTTACACACTGCACATTGTCCAATAAAGTTATCAATATCCTCGTTCATTTTTGGCCAAAATAGAATTTCTCGTGCTCGTGTCTGTGTTTTCACGATGCCCATGTGGGCTTCATGTAGCTTATTCAGCATCTCAGTTTTCAAGCTGATTGGTACCATGAGTCATTGGCCTTTGTACAAGAATCAATCTATGGCTGTTATTTCATCACGATAATTCCAGAATGATATTCAACGGAACACTCGATCGTTCAACTGGCCAACCAACCAATACTGTATTTTTTAGCGTTTGAAACGTTTCATCTGCAGCAGTTGCCTCTTTGAGCTGTTGCAGTTTTTTTGGGGGGACACAGGAAGTTATGCCTCAATCGAATTAACGTCTATATCATCATCAACGAGAATTTCGGGAGTCTCTTTTAGGTAAGACCGACTCAAAGCATCCGAGATATACATCTCTTTACCTGGTTCGTACACTAGCTTAAGATCGTAGCGCTGCAGCTTCATAAGCATTCGCTGAAGTCTCGGAGTCGCTCTGTAAAGTGGCTTGTTGTAGATCGCAACAAGGGGCTTATGGTTTGTTTCTACAGTCACACTTCGCCCGTAAATGTAGTGATGAAATTTCTCGCATCCGTATACTATCGCGAGCATTTCATGTTCAATCTGAGCATACCGCTTCTGTGTCTCTGTTAGGGCACGCAAACCGTATGCTACAGGATGCCCATCCTGGAGAAGTACTACACCAAGACCTTTTGAGCTTGCGTCACCTGAAATTGTTACTGGCTTGTGCACGTCGTTAATACTTAGTACCGGTGTGCTTTAAACTAACTGTTTCAGTCTGTCGAAACTTTCCTGCTGAGGCAAATCCCAGTGCCATTCTACATCTTGTAGAAGCGTCCGAAGTGGAGAGTCACGTCAGACAAGTTCGGTATGAATTTTGCAACATACTGAACAACACCTAACACACGTTTCACTCCTGATACATCCGTAGGTGACGGCATATCTACTATCGCCCGTACTTTCTCGGGATCTACTTTGATGCCACTGTTTGTAATCAAATGTCCTACATACCTCACTTCTGGTACACGAAACTCCACCTTACTCTTATTTAACTTAAATTTCATTTCGCGACACCCTTGTAACATCTGTTGTACACGGGAATCATTTTCTGCAGTAGTCTCTCCCCACACTAAAATGTCGACAATGCATTCCACGCCCTTCAAGTCGGAAAACATCTCCTGTACACGTTTAGAAAACACTTCCGGTGCGGAGCTTATTCCAAAAGGCAAACGTAGGTACCTATACCGGCCAAACGGGGTATTGAGTGTCAATAACTTAGAACTGGGCTCATCAAGTTTGATATGCCAGAATCCATGGGTCGCATCAAACTTAGAAAACACTTTAGCGCGTGGAAGCCTTTCAATCACTTCGTTAACTGTTTGTAAGTGGTAGTGCTCACGATTTTGTGCTCTTAATTGCACGATTCAAATCTTCTGGATCAATGCAAATTCTTATCTTGTTAAGTTTGCGCACCGTAACCAGACTATGTTACGAGTCCGTTGGTTCATCTTGCTTCTTGATAACCCCTAGTGTTTCCATTCTCTCAAGTTCTGTTTTTACTTTGTCACGTAATGCTGCAGGGACTTTACGCGGTGGGTGTATGACGGGAGTAATGGTTTCATCAATGTTGATGTGGTGTTTCCCAGGAAGTTCACTTAGTCCTTTGAAAACATCCTCATAGGTTTTCAGTACATACTCCTCTGTCAACTATTCTCCCACAGAATATAATTTTTCTTCCACAATTACGACACTGTTTACCTCCGGTACTGTCAGGCCTTTGATTTTCAGTTCAGGAAATGGAAAAATATTTCATGTTGACTTACACGAGAACATGTCAGAAAATATTGATCAAGCACTCAAAAGTTGTGAAAATTGATAAAATATTGAATTGTTCTGCGCATTTTACACTTGAATTATCAGGGTTTCATAAAAGTTCACCAATGAAAATGTTAGTTCTTTGTAGTTTAAAAGCTTAGAAATTTGATGCAATTGCCTTTGTACCGTTCAAGCTTTTTTTCTACAACAAACATGCAGCATTGTTTCATAAAATTCATGATTCATCATTTATATCTCAACGATTTGAGAATTTTTTTTCATTATATTCTTTTTAAACCATTAGAATGCAAGGACTGGAACATATAACGGTTTTAGGAGTGTTCTTCCAAAGCGTTGGTAAGTAATGTTTTTTTTTCAAATAGAATGTAGATATTTGTGATTATTGTGCTTAGCTTACAACGTTAAGATATGTTTATTTCAGAAATGAATTCTATTTTAAATCAGATATGTCCAATTTTACTATGATTCTGACTTTAGTGCATGGAATTTCAACATTTTGCTTTAAAAGAAACGAAAAAAAAATCACTATTTATACATGTATTTTATTTTTTGAAGGATGTGAACAATTTCAAATTTGGAAAAGAGATATAAGATTTGATGATAAAATATTTCTCAATGAATCTAATGGGAAAAGCAAACCATCACATGTACTTTCTGTTATGTCGTGTGGAAGATTGTGTAAGAAGAATGGAGGATCGACTGCATTTTCGCACATAGAAAACAAATGCTACTGTTACAGAAATAGGACAGACGGGCAATCCTTTACAGTTCTGGAAGGGGCTCAGTATTATTTCCTATCAGATGATTACTTTTATCTATCAGATGAAAGGAGTGAGTTGAAATTGTTATTGTTTTTACTAAGATGCAAACCCTATCTTATATACCTTCAATGGATCATCTTTTCAGAATTGCATTTCTATCTTTTCTGAAATAATGCTCGTAATCATAAGACTATCTCCTAATTATATCAAACAAAATGTTTCAAAAATCCAGTAATGATAAAAATAACATTCACAATTTTAATTGTAAGAAATTAGATGTCAATCCTTTGTAAGGTTCAATCGTAGTTAAACACTTTGAGCGGCAAACAAATATATGACCATATTTATTATAAATTTACACACTTAATTGTCTGTGGATTTTTCCATTTCACAATCATGACAAGGAGCACAAGGCGGATGTGACCCGTCGACAAGGGATGCTTACTCCTACATGGCACCTGATCCCACCACTGATGTTTTAAAGGTGTTTGCTCTGCTCCTGATTTGTATTGTTTCAATAGACTTTTTAGCTTGATAACTGTTCGTTATCTCCATATATATATATATATATATATATATATATATATATATATATATATATATATATATATATATATATATATATATATATATATATATATATATATGGACCGCTCTCTGACAAAACCGGGCTTAATGACATAAACGTTGACGTTGAGAAAAACGTGTTTATTGTGACGTCAAATTTTCGCGTCTAAGACGCACATGTTTCTTTTATCTCCCTTTTCACTTTCTGTTGTTCAGTTTTATTTTCAGAGTGAAAGTATAAATGAATGTGTATTATGATCGTCGTATCGTGTGTAAAATACGTTTCTTTGCCATTTTAAAAATATTTTCTCAAGTTACCACTGAGGGATATTCTAATATATTACTTTGTATTTACTGTTATACCTTTGTGAATATCCTACATATGTATGCATTTCGCTGACAAAGTTGAACAGCTGTTGAATGTACACAATATAAAAATATCTTTATTAAACTTTTGTTCAGTTATTTTCGCTAGTTTTAATATCCTAGTAAAATGAATAATTAAAACCCCACGCTGAAACAAATAATGTTTCATAAATTTCTATTTATACGTAAACCCGCCTCTGTGAATATCCTACATATGTATGCATTTCGCTGACAAAGTTGAACAACTGTTGAATGTACACAATATAAAAATATCTTTATTAAACTTTTGTTCAGTTATTTTCGCTAGTTTTAATATCCTAGTAAAATGAATAATTAAAACCCTACGCTGAAACAAATAATGTTTCATAAATTTCTATTTATACGTAAACCCGCCTCTGTGAATGTAAAGTATTATGATCCACCAAATATCACAAAAGCCATCTTTATTTACATTATGTCACTAAAGCCAGACCTCAAAGTATAGCGAGTGAAGGCATGGAAGGGATAACCACAGACAGAAGAATGGACGATGAATTATTAGTAAGTATAATGTTTGTTCTTTGAAAGTTTGCATATACATGAAAGTTGACAATATTAGATTAGTTTGATTAATATTTTTTAATCTTTGTGCGTTCATGCAACATAGATCAACCTGTTCTATGCAGCATTTGTTTGTTGGCGGATCGAAATTCATTTTGTTTTCCGATATTTTTTCATGTATAAAACAGCAGTTCGTGTTAAGATTTTTTCCATTGTATTAATACACAAATTTTATTTAAATATTCACAAATCAGCACATACTTTGAAAGCAAGTTCCACGTTTGCAAATCAGCATAGTTTAAAAGCAAGTTCCACGTTTGAAATGTACTTTTGTTTTAACGCCGGCGTTGCTTCTAGTTTTTATGATGTATATAAAATTCCCGATTATTTAACTGAAAGAATAATAATTTTATATAATCAATATCAAAACATATCTTTACATATAATGTGTTATTCCCATTTGCGGACCCGGACCCCCCCCCCCCCCCGGGCCAAAAAATGTGGAGTTAGTTATCTAATGTAGATATTAAGTAACGAAAAAATGACCTCGGACCCTCTTCCTCTCCGGGAAAACAAGGACACTTTTTAAGATTGGAGGAGCGAGGAATAATACTTTTGAAGTGTAAGAAGTGACGGAAAGCGGTTCTACCTCTACATTCCCACCCCTGATCCACAACCTTTACGAAATAAGTTTTTCACGTTTGAAAGGGGTGTACGTTTTTGTTTGCTTCTTTTTGCTCGTCAACAAAAAAAAAAATTATGGTTATGATCTTCTTTTTTTTACTGGTGTGGAAACCGCCCCCCCCCCCCCCTGGAAAAAAATCTTGGATTCTGGCTCGATTCCGATACATAATGGTGTAAAGCCAAAAAAGGGATAGGGAGAGTAGGATACTGATATATCACAGGCATCTGAAATTGGATGAAATGTGGATAACATACTTAACTTCATGACTTACCCCTATCTCCGCTAGCCAAGATCATTAGCTAGCAAAGATGGACTGACCCTCTCCCCGTATAAATAAAACCAAAATGTAA